TGTAGTGTCCTCTCCAATCCTGTAAGCCACTTAGACCTCCTTCCCCGGAGTCCTTTAAATAACCTCAGAATTGCCATGAAACAGCATTCACTAAGCAACTGCAACAAACAGAAGTTCATGTGATGTTCAGTGATCACACAAAGCTAGCACTACGACACAGGTCCTCTTCACAGCATGGGAATTCATGCAAGAAGTCACGCAAGACTCAGGCAGGTCATTACATAGGACTGTGTTGTTTCTTATCACCTCCTGTGGACTAGACTGGCACATTCCTTAATGGCATCTTTATAAATGCTATGCACTTTGGTACTCATATATATGTTACCAGTTACTGAATGAATTGTACAGAATCAGAATACCAAAGGCACTTCTAATGCAGATACTGTGCCCATGCACATACTTTATCTTTTTTGTTTTCCTCCTGTTATGTGTCTGGTCAGTAACACRGAAATTAAAATCACATTCTGCTGCAAGTGGCCCCAAGTGATCGTTCCCATCAGAGAGCATGAAAAAGGTGCTTTCTGTCCCTTTTGCTACTGTGTGCTTTCATAAGCAGCTCTTCTTCAGCTTATCTGTTATTAATCATAGTAAGTGTTTTCATTATGGACTAGTAATCTTTGTGCAAATGAGTTATGATCCCTTTGGAAAAAGAAAACCCRAACAGGACACCGATCAAATGCCTGGACACTCTTTAGCAGGTAAGTAATGCTTGGATTTCCCCCAGGGTCTCATGCTCCGTGCTAGAACAAGTTAACCCAGTATTCATAGGGGTTTACCACAAGAAGGTTCACTCTCAACAGTTTACAAATATTGAACAATAAAATTAAAAATCCCTCTGAATCTTCGCAATGCTAAACCTCTCCAGTCTGCATCCACTGCAGATCCATCAATTTGTTTCATTCTTCCTGTACTTCAGCGCACAGGAGTTTGACACAGGTCCTTGCACCTGCGTGGCATTAGGAGAGAAGCATGTTGTTTTCACGGACCCCAGCAAGGTTTTGGAGGTGTAAGGCAAGGGAATATGTATTTCCCCAGCCTGATGGCTCACATGGAGAATTAGCTTTATTCAAGACCTTTTCCCTGCATTCCTAGCTGGCCTGAGATTTGAGTTTTTGTAAATATTTTTGGTATGCTGAAGCCTCCCACTAACTGCCAGGACAGCCATCAGGCCCTACACGTATGAAGGTTCAAGCATTTTATTCCTTCAGGAATGGCACTGCCAAAAAAGAAAGCCATGTTAAAATTCAAGGTTCTTCCCCAAAACAGGACAATATTCAAGGAAAAAAAAAAAAAAAAAAGGACAGTTCCCCTATTGTGTTGCTTTCTGAGGCCTAGGGATGCAGCCCTTCCCTGGCCAGAAACCAGTAAAAAGCACGGAGACATGGGGAGAGCCACGGACCACTTCTAACATACCCTCTTTGAAAAGCCTCAGTAGGAACACAGACCTCATCATCCATATGAATTAAAAGGTGATTTAATCCTATTTCATAAAGTTATTGAAAACTCAAAGAGCTAAATCTGAACAGTTCTTAGTTACAAATTACTTGCTCCTAACACAGCAATTAACGTGCATTGGCATATAAGACAAATTCAGCTGCTGCAGTGATTCTTTTCTTCTTTTAAGAACATTTTGCACTGGCGYGTGTAAAAAAGTGGCTTTCTCAAAGCTAAAATAAGCAAAACATTATACCAAATATAAGCCAAAAAAATAAGAGAAAGTRCAGCACTGCAATCCTTTATACTGTTGTATAAAGGATTGTGCAGGTCTGCTTGTGCAGAATCGCTTTCAGTAAACTTAAACGTCTGCTATAACTGAGAGAATAAAAGGCAAGCTGCATTTAAACCTTTCTGTCCATCCCTGCTCCTTGAATTACTACATAAAAAGAAAGAGCAACTACAAATTCTCTCTTCCAGCAGTGAGAGGATCACAGCACAAATCGTGGTTAATCATTAGGAATTATCCAGCTCCTCCAGACAGATACCATACAATATAATAAAGTACGCAGTGGTGCTTAGAACACTTGCTAATTATTTATGAGAGGGATTTTTCACACAAAACCCATTTAAAAATTGAAAAGCTTTGCTATTCCAGCCCTGAACGTTTAGGACAGATTTTTACTGCTCATATTTTGAAACACAGAGCTGTAATTGAGCCTGTTTTGCAGTTTGAATTGAGCTGAATCCTACGAGAGAGTTACAATGCAGATCCACAAACCTTCCTGCGGAAGATGCACATGACAGGGAAGAAATGCAAAGCTGTAGCACTACGTGGGAGCAGCAGGTAGGAACTGAGAATTGTTTCTGAAGGCCGGACAGGAGGAAGGACTGAAAAAGAGCAGGAGGTGATTTCTGGGTCTGCCTTGTCTCAACGGCAGCTACRCGTGTGCCTCCTAGTCTCCTCTTGCCTGTTTGCTCAGCCTTAGACATGCTCTTTGCTTACCCGGGCCTTTCAGGAACCTCCAAAGACAGGTACTACAGCACACAGCATTTTCCAGTGAGTCCCATCTACACAAAACCATCGTGCTGTTCCTTTTTAAGAAATATTTTAAGCTACAGCCTGCTCTGTGTAAGACATCTCTTGCAGGTGATTCCTCGTTCTATTCTTAAGCTCTTATCGCAACTATTTTACCTAGTCCAACCTGGGAGCTCTCTCATACACAGTGCTGAAAGTCACTACTGGAAGACTTTTTAAAAATATTTATTTCATAATCTCCAGATTAGTAGCTGCTTGAATCTGCGTATTTTTGTTAGCTGCCTTTTGTCTCACATTTAGACCTCTTGCAACCCTCAGAAAACACAGCCTGGCCTCCTGAGTGGCTGTTTTTGAAAAGCGACTGTGCTTCAGGACTTCTTTTCCAGAAACCTCAATCTGAAAGCAGTTTCGTAGCACACCGAAGCTAAACTACATGATCCCTGATGCTGAAAGGGGCAGCTCTGCTTCTAGATACCAGCCACACGCTCCTGCCGGTTGTCACTCACTCAGATTTCATTGCTGGAGAGAAAAGCAGTTAAGAGCACCCAGCTGCAAGGGTCCTCTGAGGAAAGGAGTAATTTACAGCAACACCTTCAGCTACATTACAACCTGCATTATAACCTGGATGTTGACCATCACTGAGGCCCTAATCCCGGGCACTGCACGCAGTCTTCCTCTCAAGAAAGGGATGTTGAGTCTACGCTGCGAGCATCACTGGAGGTGTTCACAGCAGGTCAAAAAAACCTCTCTTGTGAAGAGCTGGTTCTGGTAAAGCGGCTGGCTCTGTTAGGGSCAGGGAGCTCCCCCCGTTCTGAGGTGCTAGCAGCCGGCCACTACTTTCCAAGCTCCTTTTTCAGACTTGCATAGAAATCCTGGCCAGGTCCCCAACATATTGAAGTGCCAACAGATTACTAGACATTTTCTGCCATGCTGCCGTGTGCATTTGGATTGTGTTTTCACTTCTCTTTCTGTTGTACCGTAACACCACTTCAATCCCATCTGTGATCGCAGYGCTGGGAACACAATAGCAAACACAACACTGGTGGCTAGGAGCATCTATCAAGTTTTAGCATCTAAGAGCCAGCTTTTTCTGTCTTTAACAGGAGAAGCACAAGAGAAAGACAGGTCAGGTGGCTATTTCCTACTGACATTATGCTCATAATCTGTATGTGCCAAATGCAGACCTTTTATAACCACCAGCAGCAAGGCATTTCCTACCCATGGCATTCCATCAGGATGCAAAACCAGGCAAACTCGAGGATAGCAAGGGAAAAAGCTGCACATTCCTCAAGGCACAGCCTGAAAAATGAAAGCCAGTGTGAGTTGCCCTTTCTGCAGTATCACTGAGGACACTCGGCGGCATCGGATGCGRAAGAGATCAAGGGTTCCTTTCGAAGCAAAGCAAGGGTAACCCGCCGCTCTCATCAGCACAGTTATTTTTTAATGCAGAGCAGAGCCCTCTGACCTTCCCCTCAGCAGAGGCTCGTGACACAGCTTAGCACGAACTCGCACAGCCACCGAGTCCACCTGACTGCGCTCGAGTCTCACAGCGTGTGCCTCCAACCCCCTGGAATTACCTCATACACCCAGAGATAACAACCGCAAGTAGTTACACTGCCCTGTATTGCTAGGAGGGTGATGGTGCAGCCCCGAAAAAAACCTGTTAGGGCAAAAGGGAAGAGTTTGTGGGACASTGGTGCGTTTTGGCCGGGCGCAGGGGAGCGGCGGGCCGCTCCCGCGCTCCTCCGGGCGAGGGGCAGCCGCGGTCCTGCGAGTAACCCGGCATGACAGGCGCCACTGCCGCCCCCCTCCTCCGCGCTCCCCCCGCCTCCCCCGGCCAACCGCCGCCCGCGCTGACATCACCGAGCTGGATTTAAATAGCTCCAGTGCCCCGTGCCTCCCGGATACAGCGCGCCCCATTGGCGCGCGCCGCAGCCAATGGGCGCGCCCGCGCCGCGCGCTCCGCCAATGGGCGCGCCGCCACCGCCCCGCGCCTCCCCTGTCGCTAAGGGAGGGAAATACAGCGCGGCGCGGCGGGCTGTCATGTGCGCCCCGCCACGCCGCGCCGCGCTCGCCTCCCTCCCCTGCTAAAATGTGCATTTTCTGAGAGAATGAGCCCGTTCCTTTTTTTTTTTTTTTTCTTCTTTTCCTTTCCCCCCTCCTCTTTTTTTTCCCCCTCACTGCTGGGCGAGCTGTGTAGAGTAGTGGTGCCTGCCCCGGAGGGAAAGGGAGAGGTTTGCAGCCGAGTGTGCAAAGTGCAGGGTGGTGTGGGTTATTTTTTTTTCTTTGCTTTCTAAGGGCTCCTGCTAGTGACATCTTGGGGGCAGTAAAATGTAGCATAAATATCAAGCGGAGCGGAGCTGCGCTTTTTTTTTTCTCTCCGTGGAGAGCTTTTATTTATTTTAATAAAATCACTTGTGGGTCAGCCAGGCTTGCTGAGGAAACACGGGATGGATAAGAAAAATATATATAAAGGCATCGCGGCGGTGGTTAGCAGAGCTGAGGAGGAGGAAGGAGGGCTCGGTGCACTGCGGAGCCGCTGGAGCGAGGCGGAGGCTCGGGACGCGGCGCCACGAGGTGAGCGCGACCGTTGGCGGCCGTTGGCGGCCGTTGGGCCCGCGCCGCCTCGGCCGCGGAGCCGCGCGCAGGGCGGGGGTGCTGCTGCCTAAGAAATAAAGTATCTCCCCCCCCCCCCCAACCTGCCGCCCCCACGGATGTCTTAGTCCTCACTGAAAAAACGTGGAGGCCTCGGGGTGTCTGGTTTTGAGGGCTGCTTGTCAGAGAAGCTGCCCCGCAGGAGTGAAGTACCTGCAAATGCCTTTTTGCTAACCTGTGCTTAGAAGCAGGTTTTCAGGCRTAAGGGCTCCCCACATTTAAGAGCTACGTGTGTATGCGATGTGGGGAAAAAAAATGAAGTTTCAGGCTGAGGGAAATTGAACCCGTTCCACTTGCTACGCAGCTGGAAAAGGGACTGCATTTATCTACTTCGCCATCAAGCCCTAGTCCATTGCTCCAGACATTTCTCCTTGGTCCTTGCTACCGCCCCACACACTCCACATTTATTCCAACTTGTTTCTTTCCCATATCCAGAGAAGGTTACTGCACAGCCTGAATACCCTAATGATGTCAGTGTGCATACTGGAAAGGTGGATGCCGGCATTAAGGACTGTAAGCAAAACAGAGACCTGGGCAGAGACATTTCTTGCATTTAATCTGGGTTTCTGGCTCTGCCCGTGGTTTTGAACAAGATGCTTAACTTTTTGCCTTCCTGCTGTTTCCACTTCCCTTACCACTTCATATGCTTTGCCCTTACTTAACCCCTTCATATGTTCCCCCCTCCCCCTTATCCCTTCATAACCAAACTTACGTCACAGGAGTGCTTGGAACATACATTTTTTTTTTAAAGATAAAAATTTCAATGCAACATGAAAAATCAGTAAAACAGAGGCTGCGAATACTTTTTAGGGAAGACATACTAAAAGAAATACACAGTTCAAAACAACAACTCATCCTTCCTGCAAGATAAAAGCACGGAGACATCACAAATCTGAGCTGCATTCCAGTTTGTATCCTTGTTATATAATGAAGTACGTGTCAAGGGTTCTTTCCCTTTGGGAGAGGGAAAATAAAATCTTCTCCCTGTATTCCTGTTCCCTTCTTTTCCTTACCTGTTTTCCTTTTCAGTGGAGGATGAGGATTGTCAAATCTTGTTTCCCCTTGTGTTCCTGCAGGACTTCTCGAATCATTCAGAAATAAGCAGTTATTAAATATTCAGTAATTTCCATGGGAGGAAGATACAGACCATCAAGGCCCCAGTTCTCTGCCATCTTGAGCCTTTCGTGGCGATCTGCAGCAGCACAGACAAGTATGAAGCACTGAGAGACTGAAGACAGTGTTTAAACCTGACTTCACTTCAGTGTAAATGATGACACAGGGTTCAGATCGACAGAGAACAAGGAGTAAAACAGCAAAAGCACTTAACGTGCCTCTTTTAAAAGTAATTTTTTAGTAGTTAAAGATGAAGGGGCTGTATAAAATATCTCTATAAAAAWTTTTTCTGCACATATGTTTATGTTTACATGTCCTAACAGAAGATGATGSGCCACGTTATTTTATGTGCAGGATTGTTTCTTAGGGAAATCTGCATCACTTTATTGATTTCAGGCAGTGATTTTAAGACAGTTAAAGCAACAAACCCGGCTAAGTTTTTAATGGTGGGAATAGCATTCTCTTTCGCTTAGATTTGCCCTTCATGTTACTTGTGTTTCATAATCCTACCAGCTCTCCATTTTATCATTACAGGGACAGAACCTGTACTCTAAAAAAGGAGCAGAACTTCCTCCCCCTTACCACCCCTCTCACCTGCAACATGCTTTCTACATTCAGGTTTTCATTTTCCTTTTAAAATAAATTTAGGGTCCAAGCTCACCTTTTTCTTTCTCCCTTTAATAGGCCAATTTAGTTACATTTATTTCTGTTGGTATTTTGTAACAGTAAAGTCAGAAGCAGATCTCAGAAAATGTTCGATGCACTAGAAGCCTTACCCTTTAGGGTTTGATAAAAGACATCATAAGTAACATGTCTACTTTTTTTTWTTATTTTTACRTAGTAGCGACAAGACTGAATCACCATTTTTAGATATTCTTCAGCACAACTCCTAATCTATCAATGTGTCAGCTCAACAGCAGTTTTCTCTTCACACTAATGTGATCCGGAAGAGTCTGGCTATCACAGATTTTGACAATATTATTTTATCTGAGATTGCATGTATTGCAGAAGTTCGAATAAAATGAATYGAATGACTTACTAGATTTTCCTAAAGATAGAGGAAACATAAAAACATGTCAAGTAAAACATTTTAAACTCATTTGTACAGGATAATATTCATAAGTTAGGTGTTTTGTGAGCCTTCTGCTCTAAGCACTATAGAATACTTGCATGATAAATAGCAAGTAGAAGAGCAACTCTGCATCCTGCATCTTCTCGTATGTCTTAGATTGCCCTCTATGCTGTTACATAATGCATTATAAAGAAAAAACATGCCTTCATTCTCTTTAAATCATTCGGGCATTGATAGTACTTAGCCCTTCCTCCAAGTCCTCGTTATGCAAGTCCTTGCTACTGTTAATATCTGTCAGTTCTGCTTGATTACTTAAAAAATGAGGTATCCACAGACCTTTTGTGAAGTTCATTGCATTTCTAGAATTGAAAATGAGTCACTTCAGGTGCTTTGCTCCCGTTCTCAACTATAAGCTAAATTATTATGAACAGACAAGAAGAAAGTCTCATTCATTTCAATGCGTCACAAGCTGGGTTTTTTTTGTTGTTTAATTGCTTCTATAAGCATGTTATTTTATGCGTGTCTATATACACTTCATCACACTCAAAGCACAGTGGAATACACCAAAATAGGGTAATGCTTTACATGTTGAAAAATGCAGACATTTAACTAAGTCCGGGAAAGATACATAGCTTAATAAAAATCCACAATCAATTAACAAAGTTATTGAACGGTAAAAATCCATATATAGGCACTAAGTAGTACAATCTGTATGATACGTTATAGGCAGTATTCAAGCGAAGTTGATGGAGGTGTCTATAAAGAACAGAAAGACTGATCGTTTTAAAGCTGTGATGTTCTGCATTTCTGTATTTGGGGAGTGAAGTTTTCCTGGTCCCTTCCTAAAGACATATAATGAACGACAGGCTCTCCAAAGAATTAGGAAGGTTGCTCGGTATTTATTTTTTTCTCTGTCATGCACAGAGATCATGTACGAAAGAAAATTGGGAGAAGCCTAGTGGAATTTGCCAGTGTAGTGTATCTTCACAAGTAACCTCTCCTTTAACAAAGCGTCCATTTTAAATACACTGAAACTGTAATATCTCTGAGCTCATAGTACTGCTTATATAAAGGAAAAATTCTCAGGCTACATGAATGTTACTTGTGTATTTATAAGTATACAAGTAGTGGCTCAGTGAGGTGCCCCCATAGCAGAAGGGTTTTGTGCTCTGTTAACTATCTGTTAGTTTAGCAATTTTTTAAAAACTTTTTTATTGCACTTGGGAAATTTGAGGGGCCTAGTTTATATATGTATTTCTCTTCTACAAGTACTCATTTTAAAAGCTTCAGCTATATTCTATATTATAGGTTTTAGTATGACTCATGGGAAATAATTTTAATGCCTTTTGCTAACAGCAAGTTATAGTGCATTGACTAAATAATAATAAATAATAATAATAAATAATAATAATAAATAATAATAAATAATAAATAGTACACCTACTAAACCATACGCTAACAAAAGATTAAATAGCAAGGAGGACAATGGCTGCAATGGGTCGTTTGCCAAAAGTGCTCGTGCAGTTCTGTGTTTTGAAAACTGAATTCAAGCCTGCTAAAAGGTGGAAACRATTTATGTCTGATACAAAAGTTTTTATCCAGAGAGAATAAATGAGTTAAGTTTAAACTGTGGTTTGAAATTACAGGAAACCTTTGCTGGACAGCTAACAGCTTAATTTGGTAGCCAAAGTGGATGTAAGTAAATTGGAAAATGCTATTTTGCACTGTCTAAAATATCTTACTTCTGTAATAGGAAAAAATGTATCAGATATGAATTACTATGGAATTGAGTTGATTTTGTTATAAGATGCTTTTTTTTTTTCTATTAAGCTCCAATATTTTTTACTGCAAATGTCTGAATTTAGATTGTGGGGGGGTGCTGATGCTGTCAAAGAGCAAGCATGAAATGTTGATGTCACAACATCTGATCCTTAAGTGGCATATGTTGCTTTCATAATATTTAATAAATACATAAGTTCAGTAATAAAACTTTGTGGAAATGTTTGAGATAAACACTGGTTTATATTTATTTACGTTTTTTAGATAGGCTTATTACCATATGTAGTGAAGTAGAACATACAAGAAGGCCCAGGACGAAGATTACTTTAAAAGAGGGATTTTACAAGTTAATATGGAACTCATTCTCAGCTTTTACCTGTTTTGCTATCTCTTTTAATATCATTTTACTTTCGTAAGTTCCTTCCTATCTCCTTTCCCTCAGAAATGCTGCGTCTCTGCCCCAAAAGGGAGAAATATAACGGCTACAGTTAATTTCTATTTACTGCAGCAAAATGATTCTTTTTTCCTAAATGAAATGTACACATTAATCTGCTAGACTTTCGGCTACAGTTACATAGGCTCTTTCTGAAAAAAGGGATAGTGATGGCCATTTTAATGCAACGGATACAGTTACAGTCTCTGTAAACTCCCTTTTTTTTYCTTCTCTTTTGAACTAGTAGTCAGATGTACAGAATCGTCAGCTCTTTGCTTGTAAATATCTAAAGGCTGATTTGAAAAATATATTTTTAATACAATAAATGTGACATTTTAGTCTGTGTTTCCGTCTGATTTTTCTAAGTAAATGCTAATTAAACTGAGGATAAGAAAAAGCGTCTTACATAATCAAGCCTTCCATTTTTCTATTCTCTGCCTCCACTCATTTAGATTTCATTTTCTTTTGAAAAATGAAAATTTTTGAATCAAAAATTACTACTGCATTCTAGTTAAGGCACATTGCCATAAGACTGCATAACTAAGGTATTTACTGAATTACTAAGACGTTTACTGAATAAAAGAAAGCAGTAAAAATAGTAACTCGTTGAGTTAGCTTAACTTTAAAATCATAATGATCATTAAATACAGCATTATTTATTGTGATGTACCTGTGCATGAGGTCTTTTTTTTTTTTTTTTTATGGAAAATAGGATACTTGTATCTATCCTTTATTCAGAATAAGAAAAAATAAGAATGTTCTGTCATTTTTTCTAATCGTCGTAAAGCTAAGCTCCTGTATAAGAGAAGTGGTTTAAATATTCATCTTACAGAAGACAAGACGTAATTGCTGTTGACAAAATATATATCAAATGAAGAAAAATTATGTCCAGCTGAAATAATTACAAATTGAATCAGTTACAATGAATATTATTAAAATTTTATTCTACATATGCTAAAATGAAGTCTTACCCATAGGTGGCAGTCAGCCTTCACTCTAGTAGGGATGTCAAACTTTTGGTTCATGGTATCCTACCTGTGCTGATATTATTTTGATGGGATGTGCATATGTAGTTTTACATACATACATACATGTCTGCATGTTGGAAGAGAGGTAAAGGGGTAAAATGAAGCTTAAAATTAGTTAGTAACTTGGAGAAATCTGAATTATAGGTAAGTAAAAGAAATAGTCATTTTCTAAATAAAAGATCAAGGTGTTTTTAAAAACACAATTATTTTTTATCAGTCCCTGCTGATGCCTCTTCTAAAAGGAGTAATGAAAATATGGAAATAAGCAGCTACAAACTCGATGCATTTACAAATTCGCCAGGAAGACGAGCATCTTGCCAGCCTCAGAGGGAATAACCCCATACCATGCCCAGTCCCCTAAGCTGTTTGCATTTCATGGACCGTTCTCTGTCAATGACCGAAGTGCAGCAATGCTGACATTCTGCTCTAGAAGTCCCAGCAATAATCTCCCCTAAATATAAAGCAAATAGGGAATAGATAYTCAGGATAAGCCTATTCTTTTGGCTGTGGAGAGCGAAGCCGGACGCTGCGATTCCTTTCTGCGAAGCTTCCACGGACAGCAGTGGCAGCAGTGCTCAGGAAGAGAACGCTGTCTGTGCGAGCAGAGATCCGCTCCGTTTTGCTCTCAGCTTTTTTAGGGCTTTACGTGGTTTATGAGGATTTCCTTTTGCAATATAAGGAAGGAAAGAGACACTTGGGACCCCACCAAAACTGGARCGGGTAGAAAGAGCTAATAAGGCCGAGTCTTCTCACTGTAAAACAAATAGAACTTGTGAAACTGTGTATGTGACATGCTAAAACCATAGAGCTTTTGTGAGGACAGAGCTAAAGCTAAAATTCTCAAGTAGGTAAAGTCATCTTTACTTTAGTCATTTTTACTATTTTTATTATTCCATTTCTATTTCTATTTTTTTTTCAGGTAAAATGAATTATATTTGTGCAAAGCTAAACCATCATACGCATTTTAACAGAGGTCATGAGCTTGCAYGTCACGAAATGGGGAATCTAAAGAATATACAATTATTTGTTGCTACAAGAATATTTCAACGTGATGCAAGGTTAAGGGCTCAGAATTGACCAGAACGGTGCAATGCTGTGAAAACAGAAGACCTAATTCTCCTTATGCAAGAGGAGCAGCTACACACACACGTAGTTGTATAAGCAGAAGCAGCCTGTATGATTTCATAGACAAGTAGGGTATTTCCAAATATATGCAACTACTACCTACCTAATTAGACACTTGCCCGTGCA